TCCGGGCTCCCTGCCCTCTCGCAGAAGAGAAGACGGGATGAACCGAAAGGCCTGCTCCAGACTGGGGGGGAAGCGGGCACCCCTGTCTTCCTGTCCACGTCTGCCCCAGCTGGGCCGGGCTCCTGAACAGATCGTCCCCTACCTCCCTGTCCCTCTCCTCTTTTTTCTTAAACCCGTGAAGAAATGGGTGTCGCGCGAGTTCATTATCCCCGGACGCCAAGACACACCTCCCCGGTCAGGAGTTTTCATAAAACTCCCTTTGCGCCAATAAAAGGTGGGACGTCGACTTGGACTGTAAACAGGTCCGACGGCAGGAACTCTTCACAGACCAACTCACTTCCTGCTGGGGTGTCCGGTTGGGGTCCAGCATGGAGACGGAGCTGTGGCCTCTCACTGGGTGGTGTCGTGTTGTTGCTGAGTACGCTGGGGAGCAGCAGTGTCACAGACGCGGTGATACACACGCAGCGTCCCGAGAACCACCACGGAGACGCACTGGTCTGCAGACAGGGCCAGGCCGCTCCCTGGAGGCCTGGGGGAGCCCATCGTGACCCCGAGACCTGGGCTGACTCCCAGCCACGAGGAACAGAACACTGGGGCCTGAACAGTGTGGGCTTCCCCTCCCAGGCAGAGGACGGGGGAGACGGGACTCTGGGGATCTCGCGCTCGCGCTGCAGGCCCTCAAAGAGAGCGTTGCTTTCCAGCTGCCTGTCCCTACTGGGTTCCCTGCAAAGCCAGTGAGCTGGAGACTTCGTGGGGCCTCTTCCCCGTCTCCTTTGCTGAGCAGGGGATCAGCACTTTCTCGCCCACTGCGATCCTTTTCCGCAGCCAAGTGCAGTCCCGGCCTCCAGGAGGGACCTCGGTGCTGGGGGGGACGGGGCTCCTCCGTGGGGACGACTCCCGCCCACGTCGGCTGGGAGCCTCCTTCAGAGGGACTGGCGGGGACGGAAGCCAGGAGGAGGGTGGAACAATCTGAGAGCTTGAAGTGAGATCGCAGGTCCTGAACCTCACAAATCATCGCAGTGATTTCGAGGTGCGGAGGGAGGGAGGGAGCCCCGTCTGCGGCTGGGGCAGCGTCTAGGGCGTGCGCAGTGGGCGCTGCTCTTGTTGGGCGCCCCGTCTGGTCTGGGGGTTCAGCAAATGTCCTCTGGAGGCATGCGTTGGGGGTTATGTTTCCTGAATTGTGGGAACAGGCATATCGGCCCTTTCTGAGAGGGGCCCTGGGGGCCGGAGGCAGGCGAGTTCTCTGCAGAGGGAAGTGGGAGAATTTTGCTTCCCCTGCTCCCGAGAGAGAGGCCGGCATCCCCGGAAATGGAGAAGACAGAGGGGGAGGGGGAGCCAGCGCGCGCAGACACGAGTGACAGGGAGGCCTGGAGGGCTTCGGAGCCTGTGCACCCAATGCCGATTTCAGGGCGCTCAGGCAGCAGCTGACTAAATCGGTAGGACCGGCGAGGCCCAGGGCAGCACCGGGGGGCCTTCTCCTCAGCGTGTGCGTGTGCGTGTGTGTGCGTGTGCGTGCCTGTGTGTGAGGCGGGGTGTCTCTGCACGCTGGGTAAGAGTCTGAGCCCCTTGTCTTCGGAGGCAGGAGGCTGGGGGCCGATGAAGAAATACAGCTGGAGAGGAACAGACAGGATTGGGAAGAGAGATCAGAAACGCAGCTGTTTCTAGAACCTAGAAGTGCAGCACTCCCCACCCAGGCCGTGCAGAACTCTGGACAGGAACGGGACCTGTGTGTCCGTCTGTGTGGACACTGAGCGAGTTGTCCACGTAGTGGTGGCCAGGAGAGCCCCGCTGACCTCGGGAAAGCCCAACGGCACGGTGACCGGGACTGGGCGTGAGCGCCAGAGCCGACGGCGCCTGCCCCGCCCGTCTTGACGTGGAGGAGCCGCGTGGTCTTCGTCAGTGGCTGATCCTCTATGACCCTGGGTCCCCTCCTTCGCGACGTGGAGGTGCAGTGTCCCAGAGTTGTCCTGAGGAGTCAGAGAAACTCCGCTGAGCACCTGGCACATAGTAGTTGTTCTGATGAATTATGAAAAGACGGAAAACATTGAGACGAAATAATCCAACATGGCAAATAGAGGAGGGTCCGTGAGCGCTGGAACTCGGACCCTGAACAGCTGAGCAGGCCGTGTCCCCTGGATTTCCCACCCGGCTTCTCAGCGGCTGCCCTCTGGGTGCAGGGCAGGGAACCTGGGTCCCCAGAGCCTCCCTCTGAGCCCCCGAGGGCGTCACCAAGCCGGTGCCGCCTCGGTGTGGGCTGCACACCTTCCGATCGACGGCCACCCTCCGGCCTGGGCAGCAGGTGCTCCGTGTCCCCCTGGGACGGGGCAGAGGCTCACTCGTCCACGTAGCTGCTATGAAAACGGCTTCTCCTCACAACTGGACGTGGTGGTCGCAGCGACGCTTGGCCTCAGCGTTAACTACCTTTCCGCGGCCCGCGGCCCGGCCCAGGGGTGGGGAGGACGGCATATGGCCCGGGGCCCGGGCAGCTCCTGGCAGGACTGACGTCAGGCCCGCCCGCCGGTGTCTGGAGCGGAGCCCTGTCTGCCGCGGCCCCTCCCGCTGCCCAGTGCTGCCTCCAACGCCGCAGGATCTGGTGAGCCCCGGTCACCAGGAGGGCGTAAACAGAGCACCTGGGCCAGCAGGGTCTTTGACAGCCTCCGACGAGGCAGGACCTGAGCCCTGAGGACACCTGGGCAGACCCCCTTGGTGGGTTAGGGAATTTTTCCAGAAATTAGTGTCTGAGACCGTCTCAGGGAAGGAGATGCTCCAAGCTGGTCCTCTGGAGCAGAGGACGGGACAGAGAGGGAAGCCGGCAGTCGTAGGAGAACGCACGTGCATTCCTGGGGGTCTTCGGGGCTCAGGGGGTTTCCCTGGGTGCCCATACGGCCCCCCCTTTCTGTGAGCCCCAGAAGGTCCCAATGGCATCGTGTGTCCCGCCAGCAGCCGGGAGGTCGGAAAGCAGGCAGCACACTGAAAAGAGACCGTGTTCCAGGCGTCTGCACGTGGCATGGAGCCCGCTCTGTGCTCTGTGTGCTACTAAACAGTGTTACAATCTGGGTGATGAATGAAGCCAGGAAACTGGAAGCGTTTTGAATGACTGTGTCTTGACAGCTCCCGGGACTTGGGTGACTTTGAGAGGAGCTGATTCCCTTCCACGCCGGCTACCAGAAACCCCCGTGGTCATCAAAGGCACAGGGCAGGCGCTGCGGGCAGAGGCTGAGGCGGCAGAAGTGGACACAACCCCCCAAAGCGTCACTGCGGTTGCCAACGCTACGGCTTCCGATGAACAGCGAACACGTCGGTGCGCCCGGGCACGGGACGTTGTCGGGGGACCGAGAGAATCCCTGCACAGCGTGTTCACCCCATAGAACCAGCCAGCTTCTCCTCACTCCTCTGCGACAGCTTTCAGCTTTGTGACATTAAACAGACAATGACAACCTGCCCTGGCCGGTTGGGCCCAGCAGTCAGAGCTCAGCCCACACACCAGAAAGTCGCGGGTTGGACCCCATCAAGGGCACGTACCTGGTTGGGGTCATGCAGGAGGCAACGCAGTCGGTGTGTCTCTCTCACATCGATGTTTCTCTCCCTCCCTCCCTCCCTCCCTCCCCCTCTGTCTGAAAATAAATGGAAAAGTATCCGCGGGTGAGGATTTAAAAACAAAAATGCCAATTTAATGCGGCCTGTTGGTACTCACAGTAAGAAAGGAAACCTTAACATTCTCATCTGTTATCACTGCTAGTAATAGAAACAATGAGGTTTTTGTATTTTGAGCGCAGTTTGGCAGCCTGATTGTTGCTGAGTAACATTTCAAGTGACCTGAACCCAAGTCCATGCAGCAGCTCCCCCCCGGGGGCTGCCGTATGGGGGCTTCTTGGCTGGCCCAGGGCCAGGCAGAAAGGGGGCGCATCGGGCTGAAACTCCTCTGTGGGAAGCACAAGGCGTGCCAGAGGCTGAGTGCGGGCATGAATACCGGCCGATGGTCAGCAGGGGGGGCGGGCAGCCAGTGTGGTTGAGGGGAGAGGAGTCCATGTTGGTCAAGTACTTTCACTATTACAAGCAGAGCCTACGTAAGAGCACTTAGACGTACCAAATCCGAGGTCGAGCACCTAGTTCTTCGAGCTACTTTCCACGGGCAGAAAGCAAAGCAGACAAGGCTACTCGCTTGGGAAAGGATATTTTCAGAGAGATCAACAGTGTGGATGCTTCTAATGGAATCACTCACCTACAGAACCTTGTATTGACCTGAAATGTGCTGTCTGCCCTATAGATGTGTGTGTCTGATCTTCGTGTCAGTGACAGAGAACTGTAACGGTGCACGCTAAGCGCCTGGTACGTCGTAATCGTAGTGACTGTCCCATGTCAAGTACTTATTCTTCCAGGCTGGTTGTAGATAAATTAAATTATTGAATCCCTATAATAGCTCTGCTAAGCAGGTGTCCTTATTGTATCTTCTGCCTCTTAACTGGTCCGCCCCACACTGTCCCGCCGGTTTCATTGAGAAATGTCTGAAACGGCCTCTATAAACGACATCATCCAACCCACACAGCTCTGCGGTCCGTCTGGTATCGGCACGGACGTCTCTGGTCCCCATCCCCTTCCTCACAGAGGTAATCCAGGGGCTCTGACCACCCTTCTGGGTTCCCAAGGACGTTCCCCGAATCCGCGTCCCGCTTACCGACCTCCCTCTTCATGCGACCGTGTACGTCAGTGCAGTGCCCTCACCCCCAAGCCCCCGAGTCCTTCCCCAATCTCCCCTCCCCTCCTGTTGGGCTCCAGGCTGCCGGGGAGAATCAAGGTAAAAGGAAAGAGAGTCATGTTAATAAACGTTTTTCTTCCTCTGTTTAATCCGAGGATTTAAATCCATCACCAGCTTAAGCTTCTGGTCAGCGAAGTGTGCGTGTGTGTCAGTGTTCACAATAAAAACTGTGAGATTCTTCCTCATAATTTTTCTCTTTCTGCGAAATAACTCCTCCTAACCCCGCTCTTCCTTGTTCTCCAAGATCTCGAAGACTTTGAATCCAAGGCAAGAAGTGCAGTGTCCGTCCGCGAGGGCCAAGGCGTGGTGCTCCTCTGCGGGTCACCGCCACACGTCGGAGGTAGGCGGGCGACGGGCCACGCCATCCTGTGGTCGCGTGGGGTCTTGGGGTCGGGGGTGCCACACGTCGGAGGTAGGCGGGCGACAGGCCACGCCATCCTGTGGTCACGTGGGGTCTTGGGGTCGGGGGTGCCACACGTCGGAGGTAGGTGGGGTAATGGGGGTCACGCCATCCTGTGGTCGCGTGGGGTCTTGGGGTCGGTGGTGCCACACGTCGGAGGCAGGTGGGGTAATGGGGGTCACGCCATCCTGTGGTCGCGTGGGGTCTTGGGGTCGGTAGTGCCACACGTCGGAGGTAGGCGGGCGACGGGCCACGCCATCCTGTGGTCGCGTGGGGTCTTGGGGTCGGTAGTGCCACACGTCGGAGGTAGGCGGGTGACGGGCCACGCCATCCTGTGGTCGCGTGGGGTCTTGGGGTCGGTAGTGCCACACGTCGGAGGTAGGCGGGCGACGGGCCACGCCATCCTGTGGTCACGTGGGGTCTTGGGGTCGGTAGTGCCACACGTCGGAGGTAGGCGGGCGACGGGCCACGCCATCCTGTGGTCACGTGGGGTCTTGGGGTCGGTAGTGCCACACGTCGGAGGTAGGCGGGCGACGGGCCACGCCATCCTGTGGTCGCGTGGGGTCTTGGGGTCGGTGGTGCCACACTTCGGAGGCAGGTGGGGTAATGGGGGTCACACCATCCTGTGGTCGCGTGGGGTCTTGGGGTCGGTGGTGCCACACTTCGGAGGCAGGTGGGGTAATGGGGGTCACACCATCCTGTGGTCGCGTGGGGTCTTGGGGTCGGTGGTGCCACACTTCGGAGGCAGGTGGGGTAATGGGGGTCACGCCATCCTGTGGTCGCGTCGGGGCTCAGAGCCTGTGTGGCCCTCCATCGAACCAAAAGGACTTTATGTCTTTCAAGCCCGCCCTCCGGCATCGACACAGCCCTAATGCAGATGGTTCATCCACATAACCATCCGGGCAGCCACCCCACAGCTCGGCCCCCAGAGGACGCCGCACGGCGCGGGGTGGGCACGGGAGCCGCGCGCCGTGATCTGGTGCCTGTCACCCTGCATGACAGGGACGGTGGCTTTAACCTCTTCAGGCTCAGTGTCCTCATGGGTAGAGTAGCCGCGTTCAGTGACGTGGCCGTGGCGGCGCTGGTGCCGTGGGGAATGAGCCGAAATGCCCATCGATCAGAGTGATGATCAGAGCACCGCTCACACATGAAAGCCAGGGCCGTTCCTCCACCTCCCCCCCGGCTCCGCGGAGCAGCCAGCCCCACAGCCCTGCGGCAGCCTCGCGTACCCGCGGGAAGAGGAGCAGCCCCGTGGGAAGTAAATGTCGGAACGCACCCAGTCCGAGCGCCTTGTAGCGATGGGAGATCACGCAGGAAATGCTAACTCTCCTGAGAAACCGTTTCCAGGGACCAAAGCCACCCACGGATCCCCCCTCCCCTGGGGTTGCCTTTGGTCGAATTCTGCAAGATTTGCTCAATTTGGTAGATTCTCAGGCGACAGGAAGCCTGGAGAGGGCAGTGTGGACATGTCACGCGGTCATCTCCCTCGGGACAGCCTGTGTCACGGCGACTGTGCCCGAGGTGCAGTGATGAGAGAAAGTGCTCAGCAGACACCAAACACATGTGCACAGGCTCCTACGTCCCCGGCTGTGCCAGGGAGAGGCTGGGACGACCCTGTTCTGCAGATGAGACATGAGGCACGGTGAGGTTCGGTACCTGCTCCGAGGTCACGTCACGCAGCTGGTGGGCAGAGGGCCAGCGTGGCTGTCGGATCAGGCGTCTGGCTCCCAGACCTGAGCGGGTTTGATTGACCACCTGCCTCTGTTACCACTGGTTGTCCCTCCGGAGCAGGAGGATTTGGAAAACAGCACCAAACAAATGTGTGTGAGTGTGTGTGTGTGTGTATTTTTTAAATATGTTCTTATTGACCTTAGAGAGAGAGGAAGGGAGAGGGAGAGGGAGAGGAGCATTGATGTAGGAGGGACACATCTATCGGCCGCTTCCTGCACGCCCCCTACTGGGGATTGAGCCCTAAAACCCGGGCATGTGCCCTGACCAGGAATCGAACCAGCAACCTCTCAGTGCATGGGAGGACACTCAACCAACTGAGCCCCACCAGCCAGGGCTACGATAAATATTTTAAAATAAAATGAAAACAACTTTTTTCCTCCCCAATAGTACACCAAACCTTATTCATTATTCTTGAAAATCTTGAAAAGATGTTCCCATCATTTTCATTTTTACCCAAGCCTACAGAAATAAAAATACAAAAAGAAAAGAACATGAATTACAACTTAATGCTATTTTAGTTCAGTCTCATTACAGAGCAGGATGGCATTCCGCTCCCCAAAATATGATGGGACACTGACCACGTTTTTAACGCTCTGTGGGGTAGATGATATCCCAGCACCCGCAGAAACCTGAGGGTGCTCATTCTTTAACCATAGGAGGCTCCTTTTCCCGTGTCACCATCTAAGGTGACAAGACACCACATGCACGTCAGGCTGCACTGCCTGACGAACCATTTCGGGTTCTGACACGGGCCAGAGTCTTGACGAAATCCAAGAGGATGTCTCGCTGTGTTTAGCTAGGAGCACAGCAGTGGAAACCATCTGTAAATGAATGTCGTACGTATTTCATTTTTATTAAATAATCTTTTGTTCTTTATTGATTTTTAGAGAGAGAGGAAGGGAGAGATGGAAACATCGATGAGAGAGAGCATCGATCGGCCGCCTCCTGCGCGCCCCCCACTGGGGATCAGCCCGCAACCTGGGCACGTGTCCTGACCGGGAATCAAACCGGCGACCTCCTGGTGCAGGGTCGACACTCAGCCACTGAGCCGCCCCGGCCGGGCTGAATGTCATACCCCAAAAAGGCAGCCCAGTCAGGAGAAGTGTCCCCTCCCCCGGTCTCCTGCCGGCGAGCAGGCGGCACTTTGAAAGCAGCCAGGTCCTCACTGTCAGGTTGGCTTCTGCTCAGCCCACGACACCAAGTCACAGACGCCCGAAGGGCCGCGACGTGGGACTCGCTCCCTGGAAAACTGACCCCGTGGGACGCGGGTCACGACAAGCTTGCCGGGCACCGGATTCGAGTGTGTTGTCTATACAGCTGGGGGAGGATTTCCAACCTCCCTGTGCACGGTGACCTCGTCCGGGCATCATAAGATGTTCCACGCTGGGGACGCAGGGACACGCATGGCTTCCTCCTCTCTGCAGGCAGGAATGTGGGAGCATGTTCGTCCCTTCTCTGTAGCCCCCCCAGATCAAGACTGAGGGATGTTGACAGACACTGGTTGACCCAGTTATACACATAGTCATCACTTAGTTGAAAGGAGAAAGTATTAATAACAATATTAATAATAATAGCTACGGACTGTTCCCATGAGCACTCTAAGGGCATTCCTGTGTTTCCTCATTCCCACTCTTCCAATAATTAATAATTATTTTTAGATGAGGAAACTGAGACTCAGATAAACGCAGTAAATCCTGTTTCGGTTAGTAACTAAAACCAAGATGACTACGCAGCAGGTTTGGCGTCGGAGATGCGGGGACTGGAGGACTCGCCAAGCGCTACGGACGCCTCGGGCTTTCATCATCCGTCCTCACGCCCCGAGGTCTGCCGACAGCCTTGAGGTCTGCAAGCGGCTCAGCTGAAACAGCCCCTTATTCTTTCTCCTGTCTCACCTGCTGGTGAAGGTGACCCGCGCCAAGAAGACTTCAGGGAAGAAGAGCGTGATGTTGGCTGCAGAGCCTTCAAGTTGGATTTGTAGGCGCCCGAGGTGAAATGGGCCGGCTCTCGAGACAGACAGAGACATTTCCTGTCTTTATTCGTCATTTGTTGCAGCAAGTAGGTAGGTTTAGGGGGCGGATGGAGAGACAGACAGATAAGAGACAGACAGATGAGACAGATGAGAGTTTTCCGTCCCTACGTAACAAACGACCCGAAACTTCAAGCAACATCCACTGACCAGAGCGCGGCTGTCGGTCAGAAGCCGCAGGGTGTGGCCGGGCTCCGCTCAGGGTCTCAGGACGGAGACCAGGCGGGTCACGGCTACGGGCTTTCTTCCCTGGAGGGAGGAGCCACATCTAAGCTCACTCCTGTTGGCTGCGTCCAGCCCCCTGCCGCTGAGACTCGGTCCCCACTGCCCTGCTAGCCAGGTGTTGAGGCCGTTGGCGCCCCCTAGATGCTGCCTGTAGTTCCTGACACACGTCCCTCCACCCCGAAAGCCAGCCGCGGGGGCTCTGCTTGGAGTCACATCCCTCTGAAGACGTAGACCCGTCCCAGGAGGAGCCCACCCGGTGCGAGGGCTCCCCAGTTAGAGCAGCATCGGCAAAGATCGGTCACTTCCTTCAAGTCGCCAGGCCACGGAAACTAAGCTCACCGAATCAGGGGCTCATGGAAGGGATACCTGGTCCCATTCACAAGTCGGTGGGGCGGGCGGTCAGTGGCTCACCTTAGAGTTCTGTCAACCACGCTCTTCCAGAATGTTCCTTCCTGCCCTCCCCCTTCTCCCAGCAGTCAGAGAAGAGCCCTGGGGTTCCGGTGAGGGGGGCGAGGGGTCCGCAGGCAGGAGGGAGCCGACGCGCACATGCTGGACGATGTTCGGATCCGTGTGCACAGAGCGGATGTCACTAACAGTCACAGAAACACCTGCCCACGCTCCGCAGTGTGACGGCCGCGGAGGCTGGAAGGCGGCACTGTTTCCGGGAAGCCTGGTCCTGTGGCCTTGCTGCCCCCCCCCCCCCACCTGGCAGCAGCGTCTCGCAGGCACGGCAGGGACAGGGAGCAGCCCTCCCGACGTGACAGCATTGAGCATCCTGACTGCGTCATGCTGTCCTCTGCTGCAAAGCACCGCCCCACGAGGAAGCCCTGCCCGAGATGCTCAGTGCGTTTTACTTAAAACTAAACCAGAGCCCGGCCCGTGTGGCTCCGTGGCTGAGCGTCAACCCTGCACCAAGAGGTTGCTGGTTCGATTCCCGGTCAGGGCACAGGCCCAGGTT